TGATGATGATCATTTTGATGATCAAGTTGAGAATTAAGGTGATGATCATCCTAGAAGGAGTAAAAGGGCTTGGATGTCCAAGTCCTTTGATTCAAACTTCTTGACTTATATGGTTGAGAGCGAACCTCAAACTTTTCACGAAACTGTGACTTCTCTTGAGAGTCCTTGATGGAAAGAAGCGATCAAAAGTAAGATTGACTCCATCTTACAGAACCACATCTGGGAGTTGGTAGATTTACCTCTAGGTTTTAAGCCTTTAGGCTGCAAATGGATTTTTAAAAAGAAAGATGAAGGCCGATGGGTCTATTGACAAGTATAAGGCAAGGCTCGTTATCATAGGGTATAGGCAACGAGAAGGCCTGGAATACTTTGATACGTACTCACCTGTAACTAGGATAACATCCATTCGCATGGTGATTGCGATAACAACTTTACGCAATCTGGAGATACACCAGATGGATGTAAAGACAACTTTCTTAAATGGAGATTTGAATGAAGAAATCTACATGGAGCAACCTGAAGGGTTTTCAGCTCCAGGGCAAGGCAAGAAAGTCTGTAAACTTGTCAAATCTTTGTATGGTTTGAAGCAAGCGCCTAAACAATGGCATGAGAAGTTTGACAACGTAATGTCGTCAAGTGGGTTTTCAACAAATGTGACAAGTGTGTTTATGTCAAAGACACTAACAGAAGTTATGTTATTTTGTGTCTATATGTTAATGATATGCTCATTATAGGTAGTAACGATGAAATGATCAAAACTACTAAGAAGTTGTTAAACTCTAAGTTTGACATGAAGGATATGGGCATTGCAGATGTTATTCTAGGAATTAAGATTACCAGAACATCTGGTGGAATTGTACTTTCTCAGTCTCTTTATGTTGATAAGATACTTGAGAAGTTTAGTGGATCAGATACGAGTGTGTCATTGACACCTGTAGACTTAAGTCTACATTTTACCAAGAATAATAAAGAGAGTGTCTCTCAGTTAGAATATTCTCGGGTAATTGGAAGTTTAATGTATCTGATGAGTTGTACTAGGTCGGATATAGCTTACTCGGTTAGCAGGCTTAGTAGATACACAAGTAATCCCGATGCTTCTCATTGGAAGGGCATTGTGCGGGTGTTAAGGTATTTACGCTACACTCGGGATTATAGGCTGCATTATACTTGATATCCAGTGATGCTAGAAGGCTATAGTGACGCGAATTGGATATCTGATATAAAGGACTCAAAGTTCACCAGTGGATTTGTGTTCACTCTTGGTGGGCAGCCGTGTCTTGGAAATCTTCCAAGCAAACGTGTATATCTAGATCAACGATGGAATAAGAGTTTATTGCTTTGGATAAAGCAACGGAAGAAGCTGAATGGCTTCACCATTTCATTGAAGATATGCCACGTTGGTCTAAACCTGTGCCATCTATTTGTATTCATTGTGATAGTCAATCTGCAATTGGTAGGGTACAAAGTACTATGTATAATGGAAAGTCTAGACATATCCGTCGTAGACATAATTCCATACGATAACTACTCTCGAATGGAGTTATCTCTTTAGACTATGTAAAGTTTAAGGACAACATTGCGGATCCGCTAACCAAAGGGTTAAATCGAGTGTTAGTTGAAACGTCGTCAAAGGGAATGAGGTTGAGGCCTTTGGAAGTTACTAGAATGGAAACCCAACCTAGTTGACTAGAAATCCCAAGATTTAGGTTCAATGGGACAACCTAATTGCGTGTAACGGTGGTATGTCACTGAGGAGGTTAAACCTCCAGCCATTTCTTCTATCAATGATACCTGCAAGTGTAGAGGTTAAGTTGAGCTTTTAATGACTCTAGTGTGTTAAGCTGCTGAGCTGAGTCTAGCAGGATACTCAAGTAGAGTCACCTATGTGAGTGTGAAGTGGGGCCGCTTCTAGAAAAATTGGGCAGGCCAAGATTCTTTGAAACCACTCGCTGAACCAGGCTAGTGCCCAGGGCCATACAGGGCACACCAGTGAGAACATAATGGTGGTAGGAGTAACTCCCGTGTGAGATCTATTGTCTCAGTTTACATAAACGGCAGAGCAGTTCAAGATGTCATATTCACTAATCAGCCAGTAAACTCAATCGGTTTTCACTAGGAGAGGTTCAAAGACAAAAACTACCTTCTCATCAGTAGTGCCCAAGTCTTAAGGGCGGTCAAAAATGGGGTGTCTACACCATTCCTTCTATCAATGATACCTGCAAGTGTAGAGGTTAAGTTGAGCTTTTAATGACTCTAGTGTGTTAAACTGTTGAGCTGAGTCTAGCAGGATACTCAAGTAGAGTCACCTATGTGAGTGTGAAGTGGGGCCGCTTCTAGAAAAATTGGGCAGGCCAAGATTCTTTGAAACCACTCGCTGAACCAGGCTAGTGCCCAGGGCCATACAGGGCACACCAGTGAGAACATAATGGTGGTAGGAGTAACTCCCGTGTGAGATCTATTGTCTCAGTTTACATAAACGGCAGAGCAGTTCAAGATGTCATATTCACTGATCAGCTAGTAAACTCGATAGGTTTTCACTAGGAGAGGTTCAAAGCCAAAAGCTACCTTCTCTGATGTCGGGGTTAGTCTGTTGTACTCTCTTTCCAAGTCATTATTGTTGATCGGTGTCCGTTTGTTGAGTCATTCGGTCAATTTTTATTCATGTGGGGAATTGTTGGAAAAAATTATTTTTTAGTGACTTTAATTAAATATTAAAGTGGGTCTTAACCATCTATTTTGTTGGGTCTAAGTGGGCCAAAAACCATTGAGAATTGAATAAGAAATTGCCAAGAAATTGCCTCATGATGTTAGATTCATGAATGAGATTTTAAGGGTATTTAAATCCTTTTTTTTGGCTAAAGGGTGTGAACCCGTTGGGCATCTAAACTTTTCATCTTTCTAGAAAGGGGTTATGGATCCCGGTTAATGGGGCTTTGGTGACCAGCCATAAAGGTTGGAGGCTCTTCTTCTCTCCCCTATACATGTATAAATTAAGGCCCTCCTGTCAAGTCTCTATATAGAAATTTTTGTTTCCATTTTACAAGTCAGTTTGCCAGAAAGTTCTTACTGTGAGAGAGTGCTGCCACTGTTTTTGTTCGCTAAGCTAGACAGAGAGTGCTTCTGTCGTAACTGGTTTTTGACCGTCGTATCTTGGGAGACAGACGCCGGGATTCCTCAAGCACTCGACCCGTGAGGTGGCGAAATCTGTTTTAAGGAAACTGCTACTGTGCAGGCTTCAGTTTGGTTTCTTTATCTTTTTATTGTTTCATGTATTTCTGTTGAAATTTAGTTGTAATTATCAGCATATATTTTTGGTATATAATTTTGATTTCTTCATATATCTATTTATTTAATTTCACAATTTGAACAACACAATTTACATATATTAATAAATTTAAGTTGGTCAAGTTGCATTGGTGGCAAGTTCTGTCCAAATTCTTCACAAATTTTAAGATTATACTTATTAAAATTTATGAGTTCAAATTGTTTGAGTGGCCGTTTCTAAAAAAGATTAATGTCCAATTTATTTAATTCACAAAACAATAATATTTGTAGTTACTTTTCAAATGCATTAATCTTTTTAATTTTAAAAACATTAAAAAATTTAAAAATTGATGGTTTGGAATCTAAATAAAAAAGTAACATTTTTTTTCCCCCCCCAAATTCCTTTTGGTTTTAGTTTTTTGTTCCTATCAAATTAGTATATTATCGCTTTTATGTCCTGTGTAGTGTAAAATAATTTTAAAAGTAAACAAGTTGAAAAAAATTTAAAAAGAGTTCCCTAAAAAAATAAATAAAAGAAAAACAATTTTTCTTTCGTTTTTCTTTTAGTGAATTATTTTTTTCCCCCTCTTAAAACCAAGCAAATCAGTCATTCTCTACTATTAACCAGATAAAAAAACGAAAGGGCCGGTAGCCTAATTAGCTATTTAAGCCCAATTACGTAAAATCCAGTCCATATCCATCTATCTTAAGATTGAAAATTTTATGATAATATTAATACCGACTCTTTTGAAAAGTGAATTAATAGTTACTTCTTAATTTTAACTCATTTTAAAATTATATCATTTCTCTTATTTTTATATATATGTTTAAAATTTTCAAAATTAACTTTTAATTATCTCTCCAAAACAACCCTACAATTTAAATATGAAGTCTTTTTATTTTGGGTAAGTAAAATTTAAATGTGAAGTCAATCTAATTAAACAGAATTTCAAAATATAAGGTTGCGTTTGATAGAGTTTTGTAAATATGACTTAAGAGTATGAGTTGTATTTTGAGTTTGTGAGGTTTGAAATTATGATTTGAGTGTGAAAAATTTGTTTGGTAAAGAGTTTTGAAAATAGTTTAGAGAGTTTTGAATTGAATGGAGAATTGTTGATGTGACATTTGATATTTGATATAAAAAATTACAACTCATAACCAAATATGCAACTCAAAATTATTTTAAAGCACATAAATTTTTTTAAAAAATTCAGAAAATATTTTTTTCGAATATATAAAAATTACCATATCAATTGCAAAAAAAATAAAAAATAAAAAATTCATTATTCCGGTCAACCGGTGGGACGACCAGTTAGGCAAAATTTGCAAAAAAAAAATTCCGAAAACCGTGTCTGTTTCAGAGTTCTGTGCATCCAAAACTCGTTTCAAACATCATTTGCAAATGTAGGTGTAGAATCATATTTTAAAAACACAACCAAACAGAGCCTAAAATTTTTTGAAGAAAAACCAAAATTGACTAAGCAAGAAAAAAAAATACTAAAAATTCAATTTCAAACCATACCACACCCTCAAGCTGCTCTCACCAAACATTAAAAGGAATGAAATCAAAGAAAATAAATTAAAAGGACATGCACAAAAAGAAAAAAGAAAAAGAAAAAGAAAAGCAAAGGACCAATTACAATCGTCTCCAAAAACAAAGTAGGAAAACGCCTACCCTAACGCAACAAGTGGCACCAACCAGTTCGTTTCATGGTCCACCAATCAAACAACCTTCTCTCTCTCTCTCTCTCTCTCTCTATACCAACCACCTCCCTGCAATTCATTCAAAATTGTCCAACTGAAAATCCAGACTTTCTCAACAATCATACTCTTCCACAATTCTGTGTGTGTGTGTGTAATATAGGAGGATTAGATTTAGATTAGATTAGATTATAGAAAAATGAATTCACAGATCCTTCCTATATCTAACCCATCTTCATCCCTAGCGATACCAACAGGTGCAGCAGCAACAATGTTTCTGACATCACAAGACGATCTATCAGCCACTCGTCTTCTCATTTCTCCACAATTTGACGATGACAAGCCCCCTGAAGTCAAACCCTTTTTGCCTAGGTCTTCAAGTTTCACCACCACCACCACAACCGCCGTCGCCGGCAGCAGCCCCAATTTTTACCAGAAACGACGTCGTCGGACGGCCAGCGACAACTCTTTCTCTTTTCTCTCCGGTAACGGCGGCGGCGGTACTGGCCGCGGCCAGGCGTTTCGTGAGGGATTTCTGTGTGGTGAATCGATTACTCGCCCTTGCTCTGACCTCTTGCGATATCTTGGGTAACAATTCTCACTTCTATCTCCTTTTTTTTTTTTTTCTTTCAAATTTTTGTTTTTGTGTGGATCTGCTCTGTTATTTATTTATTTATTTGTTTCTAGTGTATTTTCAATTGAATTTTATTTTTTATTTTTGAAATAAGTTTGGTTTTGTGTGTCGTTGGAGTTTCAAAGAGTCGCAATTTGGCTTGAATATGACAATTTCGGTACCTAATGGTAGTGCTAAAATGCTAAATGGATAGTCAAAGTCAAATTTTAGCAGTGTTGCCTTGTGAAAAATGCCAAAATTTAACAATGTTGCTTCAATGGTGCGCAAGCTCCTAGCTCTTGCCAAAATTTGGCATTTTGCCAACCCTTTGATCATGCCATTGGAGTTTAGTGGTTGGATGAAATTACTATAATTTGTTGGCAATAAATCTTCCTAAAACTCTTATATCTATATGACAATGGAAGCATACCCAAAATAAATATGCTACAAATATAATATTTAACGTGGTTCGGTCCCAATAACTACATGTATAGGAGAAAGAGGTAAATCCACTATGTATAATAGAGAGTGCAGTGATAAGATGAAAATATACAACGACACCAATACCCGAGACCCCTACTTAAGAGTAATTGTGCCCTTGAGCCCTTGAGCCCCAAAACCATATAGGTTTCCTGCTTACTGGTATTTTACATCTCACACTCCTCACCTCTATCACTCACCCCATTGACAGCTTTCACTCTCTCACTCACACATTGGAGTCTCTCTCTCTAACTTGGAGAGAACTCTCTCACTTTCAACTCATTTCATACCCCCATATTTATATATAACACAAGATGGTTGAGGAGATGTACAAAAATATCTCTTGGTCTTCCCAAGTCTTGGCTTCCGCGTACCAAATGAATAACCCATTGCCATAGCTCTTACATATCCCAAGCAAAGTGCAAACTGGCAGCTACCTTGAGTAACCGTGTACTGCCATCTATGGCATAAAACCAATATAAAGTCTTTACATTGTTCTGTGCCAGTGCCACCAAGCTAGGAAGCTCTCACATAGCATAAATATATATAGGCATTACATTACTACATCAAACATGTAGCTTCCCAAGGGGTCCCACCGCAACATCACACTTCTAGCACCATTTCTTACTACGTTGTTTGTTCACGTGCTGGAACATTAATTATATACATCAAACCTTTTGATATTCCAAAAAATCATTTATATGGATAGAAAAACCTAACATAATTGAACAATAGCAAACACAACAGCAACTCCATTCGAGTTGCTCATAGCACTCATATAATAGTCAGAGTTGGCATGTAAGAAGCAGCAAAGGGCACATAGGGGTCCTTGCTAGGTGCAATGATAAGGATTTGAGTTTCGATGCATGAAAATGCAGGTTTAAATTAAGATTGGGACTACGGAAAAAAATTTCAGAATTCAGATCTGCAACTAGTGCACTCTTCTTAGCACCTGATTGAAAGGGGTGACATTGGGTAATGCCCGTCTTTTAATTTGTGTTTGTAATTTTTTAAGCATTAGAAATGAGTAAATTGTGTAGTTATTACATATTAAGAGGCACTTAAATGCGTTCTATGCTATTAAGCACGGACACGGACACGCATATGGACACGGACACGGACACGGGACACGTCAATTTTTAAAAAATGGGGACACAGACACGGCAGGGGACACGGCAGATTTTTTAATTTTTTTATAAATATTTTTATTTTAATACATATTAATTATTTTATTTATTTATTATATTTTTTAAGTAATATGTTCTAATTAATTTTTTTATTTTATTTTATATACATGTTTATTTATTTTTATTAATATGTATAAGTATATATAATATAATAGTTATATAATAATAACTGGTGGCATCCTTTATAACTATTATAATAATAATACTTTCAGTTATTATTATAATATAATAATAATAGTTATATTATATTATATATATATATATATATATGAATCCAGCAGATTATAATAATAGTTATATATTATATACATATATGAATCCAGCAGATTAAAGAAGATAAAGATGCGACTGAAAGAGAGAGAGGAAGAAGCGATCGATCGCGATTGCGATCGCAATCGCGAGGGAGTGAAGGTGAGAGAGAGAGCTCGTCAAAGTCGAAGGGCGACTGGATCGTTGAAGTCGAAGGGGATGGAGGTCGCCGGCGAGTCAACTGGACTGGATCGAAGTCCAGGTTTGTTTCAAGACCTTTACTCTTCTCCTTTACTCTTCTTTTTTGCTCACTATGTCCAGATTTGGACACGCGTGTCCAGATTTGGTGGACACGTGTGTCTCCGCCGTCTCCACCGTGTCCCCTGCAAAAAAATAATTAAATTAAAGGGACACGCCACCCGGCGTGTCCCGTACGTGTCCCCGACGTGTCCCCGTGTCAGACACTGCCACGGCATGAAATCTGCCGTGTCCATGCTTCATAGGTTCTATGTCGTAGTTATGGAGGTTTTCAGTAGATTGTTATCTAGGGTTGTGCATGAAGGTTTGTTGAAGGGTTTTAGTGTGGGTTCGCCATTTGAGACTATAATTGGGGTGTCTCATTTATTGTATGCGGATGATGCTTTGATTTTCTAAAATGCGGATGTGGAGCAGTTGGGTTACTTACGATGTGTTTTGCTTTGTTTTGAAGTAGTCTCGGGTTTACGGATTAGTTTTAGCAAGTCAGAGTTGATCCCGGTGGGGAAGGTTGGGAGGCTGCTAGTGTTAGTGGTGGTTCTAGGCTGTAAGGTGGCGACTTTGCCAGTGACTTATTTGGGACTGCCGTTGGGTGCTAGTTTCAAGGCGAAAGAGGTGCGGGATGGGGTGGTAGAGCGGGTGCAGCGTCATTTGGCGGGGTGGAAGAGGCAATATCTATCGAAAGGGGGAAGGTTGACGTTGATCAAGAGTGTGTTGAGTATTATTCCAACCTATTTTATGTCATTGAATGTTATCCCGTTTCTATGGCTGGGCAGTTGGAGAAACTTAAGAGGGATTTCTTGTGTGGGAGTGGAGGAGAGGACTTCTGATATCGCTTGGTTGATTGGGGGCGGATTTGCCGCTTAAGGAGGTGGGTGGTTTGGGAGTGCGTTGTTTGGTGCAGTTTAATAGGGCATTGTTAGGGAAGTGGTTGTGGCAGTTTGCTTGGGAGCGGGATCGTTAATGGCGCTGGTTGATCGCTTCCAAGTTTGGGGTGGATAAGGGGGATTGGCGGTCGGGGGATGTGATGGGGTCTCATGGGTGGGGCCTGTGGAAAGGGCTTTGATTGGGGAGGGGGGAAGTTTTGGGATAGGGTGAATTTTTGGGTGGGACAAGGAAGAAGGTCAAATTTTGGAAGGATAGGTGGTGTGGGGAGGTTGTGTCGGAGATGCAATTCCCTTTGATCTTTGGCATTGCCAGGGATCGGGAGGCCACTGTTGTTTCTTGTTTGGGGGGTGGAGATGTGGTGGTTTGGGATATTCTGCTTCGGTGCTAAGTTCAGGATTGGGAGGTTGGTCAATTGGGGGAGTTGTTCAGTTTTTTATATGGGTTGGGGCTCTCATGTAAGGGGGAAGATGTGTGTTGGTTTGGAATGTGGTGGCTGCTAAAGGTCAGTTTTCTGTTTGGTCCTTTTATCGGAGTTTATGAGGGAGGTGGTAGGGGCGTTTCCTTGGAAGAGTATTTGGGTGCCTCGAGTTCCTTCTAAGGTGGTTTTCTTCTTACGGACTGTTGCTTTGGGTCAGAATCTTACAGTTGACAATCTGGTTTGTTGAGGGCATGTGATAGTGAATCGCTATTGTATGTGTTGTGATAATGTGGAGTCGGTTGGTCATTTATTTCTTCATTGTTCCGTTGCTTTGCATCTTTGGGGGCTGATTTGTTCTCTTTTTAGGATTATTTGGGTGCAGCCAAAGGGGGTTGTGGATATGCTGTGGAGTTGGAGGGGGGCTCGGGTTGGGTGGCATTGGCGACAGGTGTAGTCGTTAGTGTTTTTTTGTTTGATGTGGTTGGTTTAGTTGGAGAGGAATAGGCGAACTTTTCAAGAGATTTATCATTCGGTGTCGTGTCTAGAGAATCGACTTTAGTTACTATGTATAGTTGGCTAGAGAGTAGTGTTGATCCAGATTTGTTTGCTTTCTTAGATTTTTTGGATGATGAAATTAGTTAGGTGTGTTTTGTTTTTCTTTTCTGGTTTCCTTATATTCTTCGCATCATCTTAATACTTTCTCAATAGAGTTTTATTATTTATCAAAAAAATAAAATAAATGCTTTCTATGTCCTCAGATTTGCATTATGGTGTATGAAGTAGATTTATTTTAATATCAAATGTTGATGAAGTGGTGGTGGGTGCTAAAGGTCAGTTTTCTGTTTGGTCCTTTTATCGGAGTTTATGAGGGAGGTGGTAGGAGCGTTTCCTTGGAGGAGTATTTGGGTGCCTCGAGTTCCTTCTAAGGTGATTTTCTTCTTACGGACTGTTGCTTTGGGTCAGAATCTTACAGTTGACAATCTGGTTCGTTGAGGGCATGTGATAGTGAATCGCTATTGTATGTGTTGTGATAATGTAGAGTCGGTTGGTCATTTATTTCTTCATTGTTCCATTGCTTTGCATCTTTGGGGGCTGATTTGTTCTCTTTTTAGGATTATTTGGGTGCAGCCAAAAGGGGTTGTGGATATGCTGTGGAGTTGGAGGGGGGCTCGGGTTGGGTGGCATTGGCGACAGGTGTAGTCGTTAGTGCTTTTTTGTTTGATGTGGTTGGTTTAGTTGGAGAGGAATAGGTGAACTTTTCAAGAGATTTATCATTCGGTGTCGTGTCTAGAGAATCGACTTTAGTTACTATGTATAGTTGGCTAGAGAGTAGTGTTGATCCAGATTTGTTTGCTTTCTTAGATTTTTTGGATGATGAAATTAGTTAGGTGTGTTTTGTTTTTCTTTTCTGGTTTCCTTATATTCTTCGCATCATCTTAATACTTTCTCAATAGAGTTTTATTATTTATCAAAAAAATAAAATAAATGCTTTCTATGTCCTCAGATTTGCATTATGGTGTATGAAGTAGATTTATTTTAATATCAAATGTTGATGAAGTGGTGCTCACAGAACCAAGCACATACTGCTGATAAATCAAGATTCTTAAATTTGTATCATCATAAGGGTTATTAGTGCTAGGAATATATTGGTGGATTTTAAGGAACAAAGGGTATCAAGTGTTATGGTCTTGTGCCGTCTTTGTAACTTTTTGGGTTCTATGGTTGGAAAGAAATGCGCGGTTGTTCGAAGATAAATTTCGGGAAGTGGACTGTTTATGGGATAAAGTTTGTTACTTAACTTTCTTTTGGGCTTCGGGGAATTCTCTCTTTAAGGGGGTGCCACTTTTTTTGTTAGCTAGAGCAATGTTGTGAGGCGCAGCGAGGCGCAGGTGCAACGCGAGGCGAGTTGAAGAAGGCGCGCGCCTTTTGTGCGCAACTTGGCTAGGCGAACAAAGGTGCAAGTCGCGCGACTGTTTGCAACTTTTTCTTTTTTGTTTTCTGATTGAATATAACAGTTGATATCGTGTTTTTAAAGGCCTCAATCACAGAGGATTAGAAATCTGAGCTATACTACTCAATACCCAAGCCCAAATCGATTCGAAATGCCCTAATCAATTCGAAAGAAAGAAGAAATCTTGCGGTGTCTCTTCTCTTCCCTTCAGCTCGTCTAGTCTCATCTCTGGCCTAGGTGAGTTCTTCTTTTGCTTCTTCTTCTTCTCTTTCTCCTTCTCTCTTCTTCTTCGCTGCCTGGGTTCTTCTTCTTCGACTTATTTTTGGGTACGTCTTCGACTTGCTCTCTGCTTTTTTTCTTTTTCCTTTTCTTTGTTGGGTTGGCTAGGTTCTTCTTTTTCTTCTTCTTCACTGCTGTATCTGGATTGTTTTTTTCCCCTTCTTTGATGCTGTGTTGTGTTCTTGAAATTTCTTGAAATGTTAAGACTAATATTCAGTGTGTATTTCAATTTTCTGAATTCAATTTTTTGAAAATTGAGTTTTTTTATTTTTTGTGTTTTTTTTTAAATTTATTTTTAGTGAATATTTTTAAAATTTTAAACATTTTTTGTACTTTTTTGGATGCATCTTACTTAGATTTGTCTTAAAAAAATTAATAAATACACAAAAATACGAAAAATGTATTGAATTTTTGTAATTTATTTATTTATTTGTATTTTTGGTATTTAATGAATTTTTTAAAGATTTTTTTCACAAATATTATACCTTTTAAGTATATTTATGTTAGGTGTGTCTAAAAATTAAAAAATATTCTTAAAATATTAAAAAAATTCAGTGAAAAAAAAAATGAAAAACAAAAAAGTAGAATTTTCTGAAAAGTGAATTTTGGAAATCAAAACCAAACAGGGTGATTAGTATTTGTTGTATATTTATGTTTTTAATGTTTGGTGTTTATGGTTTGTTTTTTTGTTTTTGTTTTTGTGTGTGTTTGTGTGTTAAATATAGATTATTTTATCTTTGAAAATTGAAATGTTATGTAATATGCATTTTTATGGAAGTGAGAATTATTATATAAGTTGCCTTATTTATTTATTTATTTTTAAATTGTCTTAGTATTAACATGCTATGAATCATTAGTCTATGTTAATTTATCTATTTTTTACTACGACTATCCGCCTTACTTCAATAAAGCCCGCGCCTCGCCTTGCGCCTCAAGAGACCTTCGGCGCCTTGGTGTGCCTTGAGCCTTTAAAAACACTAAGCTAGAGATTGGATATCGGTGTGTGATATGTAGGCTTTTGCTTGAGATAATCTTATTAGGGCTATGATCTTTGTATTTTCATTTTCCTTTTGTAAGAGGATGTCTTATCCTCGCTCCCGTTTTTGATTTATTAATAATATCTTTTGTTGATGAAATTAAAGGGGTATCAAGTTATGAGCAAATATGTTGATTTGCCAAGGTTACAAATTATAGTGAGACTATTGGAATGAATGTAATTGGAGAAGAGAAAAATGAATTCCTAGTCGCAAGTTGCCTTTTCAAGGATAGCCCGAGCCTGCAAATATGTTATTGTTATGGTTAGTGTTAGAAACTTTGATTTCAAAGACTCACTGAACATACTGAAGGCCAAATGAGAAAATTGCTTATAAGGTTGAAGAGAATTATAATTTCAGATTAACTAACAATCTCAAATGGTTGGGAGGTTGAAGAATGAAGATTCATTTGCTCTTTAATTACCGTTTTGCTCCTTGAGACTTCTTTAAATTTTGTTTGGGTTTAGTTGAATTCCTTAATGCTCCTTGAAACAACAATGCACCAAATGAGATAGATAACTCACATAATATTACCTCTTTCCCCTGGTATGGGTTTTGACGTTTTTGGATCTTTCTAATCATTTATTTTTATTCAGGGTAGGCTACAGATGGATGAAAAGGTTTCTTGGCCTCGGCTGTTATGCTTTCCTACTTTTCCCTGGTTTTGTTCAAGGTTTGCAACATTCCGTGATCTGTTGCATAATTTATTCTTACACCACTAGTTTGGCTTTTAAGAATTGTGGTCTGGAGTCATATTTGCCAGATTTAGTGATAAACTGCTCAGTTTGGTAGACAATAACAAAATTCTCTGGTTTGTGCAGTTGGGTTTCACTATTTCTACTCAAGTCAGGTCCGTAGAGGTATAGTTTATGGTGATCAACCAAGAAATAGGTATGGTTTGTGATTTGGTTTATTTCTTGTGCATCTGGAGCAGTCAGTTTGTGTAAAACATTACTTCATGAATCTCATGGGATGACTCACTGATGAAAATGTAGTTGTGCAGGCTTGATCTGTACTTACCTAAAAATAGTGATGGCCCGAAGCCAGTTGTTGCATTTGTAACTGGTGGAGCCTGGATTATTGGGTAAGTGATTGCTATGTGTGTGCTGCTTTAGTGGGATGCATGAACTTCCAGTTAAAGAGACTTACATTTAAAAAATTAGTTTAGTATGCCATTTCAGCCATGTTTCGCTAAGAAGGTGAAATGGTACACTAATGGAGCAGGACAAAAAACATTTATAAGGGCACATTGGCAAGTAGAGCTGGACGCAAGTAATTTTTTTGAAGCTTTCCTATAAAGGGTGTTCATATATAAGAGTAAATTACACGTACTTCCCCTAACAATTGGCAAAAATACATCTAACGCCATTGATCCTGCTTATATTTTATAATTGCATTACACTTAACCCCTGCGGTTAGTTTACCATTAGTAGATAAGATGGAATCAGATGATGTTATCATTTTTTTAAGTAAAATACCAGACTTACCCTTATTCCTCTTTAGAACTAATTAATGTTATTTTCAAACTAATTCTTACTCATAATAAAATTATCCAAGTTACTAAACAAGCCCCCTTCCCTTTTCTCCTCGCTCTCTTTGAATTGTGAGAAAACCCTAATCTCTATTTCTTTCTCTTCTCCCCCTTGACCTAGCCAACCTGTCCCCCTTCCTCTTCTTCTTCATCTTCATGTGCCCCCATCCATAATTGGTGGCTTGACCCAAACTCTCCCTAAGCAAGCACCACCACCACATTGTGACCCCTACCCCATAGCCCCACCACCCTACAACACCACGACCCTTCTTCCATTCAACATGTGAAACAAAGTATAAAAATCTCAAGGAAGACCCTTGAATTAAGTGTGGTGAACTTGCGGAAAACTCCTTGCTGAGGGCCTGTGCAAATTGAAAAGCTCAGCCCACATTTCTCCTTAAAACCTAGGTATTAAGGAGAGGGAATCTAGAGCCTTATAACCAGCATAGATGGGGCAATTCCAGGCGATGTGGGACACATTCCAACACACCCTCCTAGACACTAGATACAGTAGTCGGACAAACGACACATTAGTCAAAGGCCTAACCAAGCTCTGATATCAAATTGAAAAGCCCAACCCACATTTCTTCTTAAAACCCAAGTATTAAGGAGAGGGAATCTAGAGTCTTATAACCAACACAGATGGGGCAATTCCAGGCGATGTGGGACACATTCCAACAGTGCACTCCTGGGGATTAGTCAGGCTTTGATCTGGACAAAAAAAATAAATTAAAAAAAAAAAAAAAAACTAAAGAAAGAGTACTCTCCCTAAGCAAGCACCACCACCACATTGTGACCCCTACCCCATAGCCCCACCACCCTACAACACCACAACCTTTCTTCCATTCAACATGTGAAACAAAGTATAAAAATCTCAAGGAAGACCCTTGAATTAAGTGTGGTGAACTTACGGAAAACTCCTTGCTGAGGGCCTGTGCAAATTGAAAAGCTCAGCCCACAATTCTCCTTAAAACCTAGGTATTAAGGAGAGAGAATCTAGAACCTTATAACCAGCATAGATGGGGCAATTCCAGGCGATGTGGGACACATTTCAACACACCCCTAGAACCTTATAACCAGTATAGATGGGGCAATTCCAGGCGATGTGGGACACATTTCAACACACCCTCCTAGACACTAGATACAGTAGTCGGACAAACGACACATTAGTCACAGGCTTAACCAAGCTCTGATATCAAATTGAAAAGCCCAACCCACATTTCTTCTTAAAACCCAGGTATTAAGGAGAGGGAATCTGGAGTCTTATAACCAACATAGATGGGGCAATTCCAGGTGATGTGGGACACATTCCAACAGTGCACTCCTGGGGATTAGTCAGGCTTTGATCTGGACAAAAAAAATAAATTAAAAAAAAAAAAAAAAAAAAAGAAAGAGTAAATTGAAAGAAATGGTGTCATTTGAAAATTGGCATGACTTCAAAGAAAAATCGATAGGAACCATTCATAATCATGTTTCTTGTATTATTAGACTCTTATTGTATGATTAGTTTATGTTTTCTAAGATTTTTAAGTGAGGGGTATTTTGGTAATTTTTATATTTGCTAACATGGGTTGTAGTGTCACCTGTGGGTTGGCTTGTGGGTCAAGTTATTTAATTGAGTTTTATTTATGTTTTTTATTTGGTCTTAAATTGATTTTAGAAGTCAAAGATATTGTAATAGTTTTATTTTATTTTACTTATTTATTTTATTTTGTTCTAGTTGATTTAGAAAGTCTTCTAGTTCTATATAAAGTTATGTAATATTTATAATTTAATGAAGTTAATATTTTAGAGAATTTTAGGAGTTTTTGAGGCTTCTTTATGGATTGTGCTATGCAATCAAACCCTAGGTGTGATGCTTAAGGGATTCTAGGAGCCTAGATTTATCTTCCTCTCTTCCATTTTCTATTCTATTTCGACAACCACCACCCTCTAGTGCACTTTCCAACATAACCCCCACGCAAATCATAACCAAATCGATTGAAAACAAATTCATAGTGATGGGGTTTTTGTTGACTTCGATCAGAGTCTTGTTTCTATTGGCGCGGTGATGTAGTTTTTGCAAAACTAACAAATTTGATAATTATGGTGGTCTTCTCCGACCAATGGTTGGCTGTCGTTGAGCATGACATCATAAGTACAGGTTTGGTCGAAGGATTTGAGTGGAAGGTGGGCATGGTGGTGTGAGGCAGACAACTAAGGGTGGAGGAGGGCAACTGTGGATGGAGGAGTGCAATGGTGGACGGATGAGCGATCAAGGTAGGTGGCTGGAGGTTGAGGAGGGTGTTAAAATCCACCTACTCTCCACCTACTTCACCCACTTAAACCTACTCCACTAAACCTAACCCAATACACTACTACCACCTCACCTACTCCACTAAACCTAACCCACTACACCACTACCACCTCCACTTCACCTATCCACTACACCACTACCACCTCACCTACTCCACTAAACCTAACCCACTACACCACTACCACCTCCACTTCACCTACTCCTTACCTACTACACACTCACCCTCTTCTATATATAGGAATCATGAATCATTGTAATAGAGATCAATATAAATCAATCAATAATACATACAATTTATTCTCTCTCTATTTCTCTTTATACATTAAATCTTACAGAGGGTAGTAGTGGGTGGATAGGAATGGAGCTGGAAGGTAGTGGCTGTGGTAAGGTGGGGTGGGTATTTAGTGGAAGTGGGTGGCAATGGTTCTGTCGCTCTCTTATCCCTTTTCATTTCCTTCACCTAAAATTTGTGAAACCATTGTTCATGGTGGAAAGAGCTGTAGAGTAATAAGTTAGAGAGAGGGTGTGGGGAACCTATCGTGGTGTTGGTTGACAACCATGGAGGCTATAGACTGTGACAATGATGATTGGCGGGGGAGGGTTGACACAATGATGGTTTGGGGTTGTGAAGAAGATGGGAAGCATAGATTGAGTATCTTGAGGAAATGGGTTAAGCTAGGGCTTTTGTTGAGTTGGGGAAGGGAATGGACTATTTGGAGAGGAAGGAGATGAAAAACTTCGATGGTGTTTTCATAAAATTGCTTCTTATGTTAAGTGAGTCTATGTCCATTATATAATTACCTCTTACTAATGGGCCAAGTGTATTTTTACCAACTGCCACAGGATGTCTGCGTAATTTACCCTATTTATAAATACATTGGTTGAGTTGAGCGTTGTTTTGGTTGAGTTGTGCATTGTTTGCCAAAAGACAGAAAAATTTCGGTGTCGTTTTGCAAGTTTTCTAATTACACTAATTATGGTCATGCCCCTTAGATGCATGCTATATTCTCGGCATGCTCTGAAGCTTTTTGTTGATGCAGCTATAAAGCATGGGGTTCCCTTTTAGGGCAACAGTTATCGGACAGAGACATCATAGTGGCCTGCATAGATTACAGGTGATATGATTATACTTCAGCCTTAAAATTGCCATGTTCATGGTTCATACTACATGTTCAAGCCTTTGTTTGAATGAAGTTTTCTTACATGATATGACCTTGATACCGTACCCACTAAAGAAGTTTGTGTGTTGAAAGCAATGCTAATTTTGCAAATAGAAGCCCGCAAATATATAATGATTACAAGGATATATGGAGGTTTCTTTGGAATTGAATGACTACATGTATAATATTGATGAAATTTCATACAAGTCTATTGCATTTGTTATAGTATTCAATGCCTTTTCCCCTCTGTCTTAAACACATAGAAATAACTGAATCTTGAGATTAAAGTGACATATTGATATTGATATCTGTATTCTTTAGCAATTACAAATAATGGAATGGTTCCATCTTCACCATGTCAAACATACTCAACAATCTGTAACCTACTAACCTTCATCACCCCTGTCAGTACCCATTACCGAGGATGAACTGTTTCTCTTTTCTTTGTATCAGAAGCAACTTGCAGTCGGTTCTCTGGCTTGCTACCAAAACACTCAATTCATCAGTGTTAATAGTTTATGTTGTAAAAAAGCCAGCTTTTGCACATAAAACTACTCTCTCTCTCTCTCTCTCTTTTCCAGTGGTGTATAAAATAAAATTAGAATTCCAAATAATTTCATGTGTGGATTTGTGGTGTTTATTTACCCATTTCATAATAATTTTATGGATTTAATCCCAATTCATGTTTTCATTTCTTCAGCATTGAACCTCTAGTTGGGCAGTGCCTCTGTGAATATGCATTTTTCACATTAAAACTGAATTATCTGTTGCACTTATTTGATGATTGATTTTGTGTGCAGAAACTTTCCTCAGGGGACTATGAGTGATATGGTACAGGATGCTTCTCAAGGTATCTCATTTGTGTGCAATCATATTGCTGAATATGGAGGTGATCCTAACAGGTAGTAAATTTGTAAAACTTATTTCTTTTGATATCCCATTGAATTCATCTGACATGAGAATTCGGTGTTGCTAAGTCAGCCATTTTTTTTTTCTTCTCTTTTGGTAGGATTTATTTAATGGGACAGTCAGCTGGTGCCCATATTGCTGCTTGTGCTCTCTTGGAGCAAGCAATTAAAGAGTCTGGTGAAGGAGAGAGCACTTCTTGGAGTGTGTCACAAATAAATGCTTATTTTGGTTTATCTGGAGGGTAAGTTTATGTTAGAATTCTAAAAGTTAGTGTAAAACCTTCTTCCCCATATTTTTTTTATTTTTTAGGGTACAATTAACATATGTGGATGGTACAACTGATGAGATTTATCTATATATCTTTTATGTTGGAATTGATGTGAACCATTGGATGTGACAAAATTTTGTAACGAGTGATAATTCTGAAACTTTAACTCTTAGCATTGGGCGGAATGTAGTTGCCGTTATAGTTTTTGTTAAATAATGGAAAATATATGCTCTCTGGCTCATCTAGGTGGAGGAATGCATTTATAGTGAGAAAATCAAGTAGTATATAGGTGCATACATTTAAAGTGAGAAAGTCAAATGGTCTATAGTAAATGCTACAAACTTCTCATTACTGTGTGATGGTACCACACCCCCTTCCACCTTTGTTCTCTAATTTCATTTTCTTAATAAAATTCAGTTCGTTTTCTATTTTTGTTGTTTCTGTTCAGTAGTTACACTCTTTGAGAACGTTAACAGGTACAATCTGTTGAACCTAGTAGATTACTTCCATAGTCGAGGACTGTACCGTTCAATCTTTTTGAGGTATATATATCTTTGTCATTTCCCCAATGTTTACCATAGACGTCAGCTATTTTGGTTAGTGGCTTATTTCATGTCTGACATCCAATGTGACCTCATGATTTTTATTACCCGTACAGCATAATGGAGGGGGAACAATCTTTGCCGCGATTTTCTCCTGAAGTAATGGTACAAGATCCAAATATTAGAAATGCAGTTTCTCTTCTACCTCCCATTGTCCTTTTTCATGGAACTGGAGATTATTCCATTCCATCAGATGCCAGGTCTGCATCCGCTTTTAAATGAACTGCCGTAACTGCATATGATATTTTTCTTTCGTTGTCTTTTATTTTTTCTGTAAATCTTGAATAAGTGTTTATGTTAATCAAATAAGCTATCTATTGTTCTGTTTTGACATAGTGTTCTCTTAAATTGTATATTCTATCCTTCTTAATCTGTCTAATGAATGGAATATTGAGCTGTGCATGTGGTCACCCTTCTGATTGGTTAGTAAGAAAAGCCATATGGTGATTGTAGCTATCATCTGGATGAGATGAATGAGTTAGCCTACAAAGAAGTTTGAGGGATTAGAAAATGGAGAGAATTAGAGCGTTAAAATAGCATGTTTATGTCTAAAAAGACACAGGAAATGCTTACTAATGTTGTATGAAGTTTGAGAACATGCAAAAAATTTGAGAACACATATATCTCTTTTTGAACATGGAACATAGTGAACATAGAATTAAGTTAGCTGATCCAAAATTTTCTACCTGTAGTAATGGTATTGTCTATATGCATTCATCATATTACAAGTGCTTATTTAACTTACAATCTGAAGTTCCTGTATGAACATCTTGATACATGTTTAGGTTACATAGATTGGTAAGGGTTAAAACCTATCTGCATAGTCACTCCGTGAAAGCGGACTTTTAGTTGGAAATTGAAATTAGAACCATTGATGAAGTATTTGATATGAAAATTTGAACTATGACAAAATGGAAAAAATTCCTGCCTAATGATGCAGCATGAATATGAGATTTGACATTAGTCACTCAAGGGTGAGGCTTGTTTAGCTCAAATTCGGCTAATGGTAACATCATCATTCTGATTCTAATAAGTTTATCGATTTATTCTTTTCTAGTTTTATCAAACAAGTCATAGCATGTTCATCGCATGGATAGTCAAATATGTATAGTTGGCACTGCATTTCAATTTTCCATTAATTACCTAAATGTTCTCGTGTGCAGCAAGAATTTCGCTGACACTCTGCAAAGACTTGGAGTGAAAGCTGAATCAGTTTTGTATGACGGACGGACTCACACAGATTTATTCCTCCAGGTAATCAATTTCTCCTGAACCCAGATACTGATGTTCTTCTTCTCTTCCATGTTCCTTAAATACTCATTTGAAATGCGATGAAAATTTTAAACTTTCTTGCAATGTTTTGGAATTTTCTGGTTTAGTATCTGGGCTGTCGTCATAGTTTCTTCTGCTTTCCTGACCAAAATTTGTCTCTATCTACTCTCTGGCGTTGTTCAAACATTTTCCTTTTCATTTGTATGTATTTTTAAATAGCACTTATTACATTCTTGTAATTTCTTATTACATAATCATACACATTTTGGGTACTAGAGGAAATGATTCTCATATGCTTCGTTCTCTTGGTGTGTGACTTCTGTTTACAATGAAAAAAATGCTTTATAATTGTTTCTATATTTATATTTTTTCGGTCCATATGCTATTCAGGATCCAATGAGAGGTGGTAAAGATCAATTGTTTGAAGATTTAGTTGGTTATATTCATGCTGGAGATGCAGAAGCACTCGCCAAAGATGCAAGCGCACCTCCAAGAAAACGACTTGTACCTGAATTCATGTTGAAGTTGGCCCGTGCTGTCAGCCCCTTTTAGTTGTTTTCAGACCAGCTTACTTTACAGAAGCTCGATTCCATAATTTTGTATTTGTTCCAATCGATACATCTTCGTAAATATCACCAAAAAGCGTAATTTTTTAATAGCAAACGATAACCATTCTATTTTTGCCCCATTTTGTCTTCATTTTTATTGTCCCTAAAAAATGTATAAACTGAAACGTTTTTTTCCCCATTATTATAGGGCAGGTGAACATGAATAGGTACACGTTATGATCTTACTGTTGAATTTGACTTACTAATGTATTGTGCCAACTAACAGAAGTCCATTTTTAGCGCTGTTGATTAAGGAAAGTACTTTTGAAATCGTAATATCTTATCGAAGTCGAAATAAATAAATAAACCATGAAATACAAAAGCACTAAACCAAAAAATGCATGATACATATATTTGCTTCTATACCTAGATTTATTTCTACATTAGTTATTGTTTGTCGAAAGTATGCAAGTGCTAGGCATTGTCATTGGTTAGTATGTTACAAAGACGAAGTTTGTGTTTGTCGACAATCCGTCATTTTTGCTTTCATTCCAGTAGTTCCAAATTTTAGGTATTGTTAATTGAAGGCATCTCCAACGTTTCACTAAAAATTTCATCAAATTTGAGTAAAAAAAAGACGAATTTCTCAATTTGATATTAGTCACTCCAACGTACTGTAGCTTTTATCAAAACGCATTGGATGTCTGGGGAGACAACTGGCCGGTCGACTGGAAAGAGGAAATTGAAATTTTTTTCCCTATCTATTTTCCCACATTTTCATGGAAACGTTAGATAGAAAATGATTGAATGAAGAGGAGAAAAACACGGGTCTCACCGTAGGGACACTGCGAGGGTAGTAAATGGAAGCGGAGATGAAGAGCTTTCCCTGGCCATCGATGATGAGAGAGCGATGATCGTACGTAACATTGTTGGCTGCAGAAGCGAATGCGATGAATGATGCAAACAAGAGAGAGAACAGAAGAGGGGTTTTGATGATGGGTATGGAAATGGAACAGGGGTTCACCTTTGTGTAGTGTGAAGCTCTCAGAGAGAGAGAGAGCTCTGCTTCAGAGTGAGAATGGTGAGAAGTAGGACTGAAGTGTGTAGCTGTAGATAGATACATATATATAGACAAGGATAGGATGCGTTGAAGTCAGCATAGATGCAGTAGAGACAGAGGCCAGTCCAACCATGTTTGTCCGTTTGTTTTCGTATTTTTGGAAACAAAAGCGATTGTATGTTTGAAAAACACCCAGCCTTTTCATTTTTGTGCGAAACAGTTTTGGAAACAATGGATATTTGGTTGTATTTCGTAAAAAGTTGGTTGTTTTTTCTAAAAAAATTTCAGAACAAATTTCAGATAAACATGTTTTCTGTGTATTTCAAAAAAATGAAAACACAACTAAACGGTTTTATATTTCAAAAAGTTCTCTAAAAGGTTGATTATTTTTAGAAATTTTTTTTTTTCTTTCTTTCCAAACACAGTTTCCAAAAGCGTAAGTATAGTCAGGTGGGATCAGCAATAATGTATTCATTGAAAATTTTGATAACTATATTTGTAGTTGAATGCATCAGCAAAGCAATCTACTCTTAATGCTCTTTCCTCACATTTTCAATAAAGTTCGCTTAAGGGGTCATCCGGGGGGTTGACCTCCTAGTGTGAAATTTTTACAAAATTTTATTTGAGGTGGCCATCTGGGATCCGGTGGTGAAAATACAACGGTAATGAACAGTGTTTTGATGAAAAACACACATTATCCTCAGTTTAGTGAAAAATTTGAGATGTTTTCAATTTGATATAATTTTGAAAAAATCGTTGAAAAAAAAAAAAGTTAACTTTTTCACTAAATTCAATTTGATGATTGATTTGATTAAACATTGGATATGGCTTGAGGCAGCAATAACTGATTGGAAAGGATCTAATCTAGCATTCTTTCAATTGTTTTGATAACCAATACTTCTTGAGCCGCAAATCTGATCTCATCCACTTGTCCGGAGTTTAGTGGGTATTTGGTAAAAACTTGAGTTTGTCTCAACAAATTAACTCGTGTTCAATGGGGACCATAAATGAAAAAAAAGGAAATAATCACGAAAACTAATGCCAAACATTGCTTCATTATTACATGTTTTATTTATTTATTAATGATTGAGATTCTTACCCTTACAAGACCTTCACAAATCTGAATCACTCATGATGTGAATTTTATACATATATGAGTAGGTCCCACACATATATGGAGGGTTAGGATCACTTTGGGGGTATAGGGATCATCCCCAAAAGGGGTCTTAAACATTTCCCTTTATTTGTTTATTCACAGAAATGATACATACTCCTACAAACATCTCACCCCCATGACCCACGCACACGTGTTAGAGAGATAGGAAAAAAAAAAACAAAAAACAAAAAAAAAAAACACCCATAACCAATCACAATCATTTGGGGGTCATGGGAGTCTTCCAAAATCGGAGTCCAAGTATTTTTCTATATATAATGCCTCACAAGCTAAGATTTTTATAGATGCTTTCTCACTGAGTCCGGATCCTATGTCGCCCTTGTCTGTAGCCCTTCCTTGTAGCGCCCCAAAACGACGTCGTTTTGGGGCAACTTTTCCAAAAAACAAAAAAAAAAACTCAGGAAGGGGGAAGAACAGAACTGAACTCAGAAAAGAGGTGGGGTGGGTTTGAGACGGCACCACCACCTCCCCGCCATCGCCGCCGCTACCCACCTTCCCTTCTTCTTCCTGACTCCTCTGCAAGTCCAACCATTTTGCATTATTGATGGGGTAAAAGTAAATGATACACTCTTGGTTGGTTGTAGAACACACTAACAGATCTTTCCAATATCAGATAAATGTCAAATTAAAGAGATTTCTTTGGTGAAATAAGGTAATTTCCAATGAAATATATCGAAAATCTCCAGAAATAGTCAATAAACTACTTCAATACCTCTTTTTGTACATTTTAATGATAAAAAAATCTCCACAAATTTCAGATGAGATATATAGAGCCAAAACAAAGGAAAATCCCAACAAATTCAGATAGAACTAGCAGATAACCTATTTTGACAAATTTGTAATTCCGGTTCTCCATGTACGCATTCATTTCAGTTCTATTTTTTCTTTTTCTTTTTTGTTGTTACAATTTAGAAAGAGCGTGAGAGAATTTTGATCCACCAAGTTAACCACTATGCATGAGCAAAATGTTCCTAGCTTTAACTTAGTTGAATAATAGTCATTGATTCCCTTTGCTATACATTTCTTATTCATTCAAGGCGCTCAGCTAGTGCTTCTTTCTCAAACCAGAACAACTCTGAATGTTAGGGAACATAAGGGAAGACCACCTGAGCAAACTGATTCCAGAAATCCAAAATCAAAAGCAATCTGCCCAAGAAAACAAGAAAATAAATAAATTTTTAAAAAAAAAAAATTGAAAAAGAAGAGGAAACATTATTCTTCATTGAAAGTGAGACAAGTCCATTGATCACAAGTCTTCCCTTGTATTTGTCAATTGATCCATCCGCTTTCATTTTCCTTTTAAAAATCCACTTGTATCCAAGGGGTTTACAACCTGGTGACAAGTCCACTAATTCTCAAGTATGATTTTGCAATATGGATTCAACTTCACTGTTAACAGCTTCTTTCCATAAAGGAGCCTCAGGACTGGACATAGCCTCTTTAAAAGTTAAAGGCCCATTTTTTAACAAATATGTTAGAAAATCTGGATCAAAAGATTTTGAGGTTCTAACACGTTTACTACGCATAGGTTCCTCTTCCTCATTTTGATCTAACTCTTGTTCTTGATCATGTTCTTGATCCTGACTAGTAATAGCATCATGAGATCTTTTATGATTACTAATCTCTTGTCCAGTCTTATTTGGAAATACATGTTCAAAGAAAGATGCATTCCGAGATTCAATAATAGTATTTACATGCATTTCAAAATGTTCTGATTTATGAATCAAAAACCGATATGCACTACTATTCTTGGCATAACCAATGAAAACGCAATCAATGGTCTTAGGACCTATCATAGTCTTTTTAGGACTAGGAATAGCCACTTTAGCCAAACACCCCCACACTTTTAAGTATTTGTAGGATGGTACTCTTCCATGCCACAATTCATAAGGTGTTTGATTCACTTTCTTTCGGGGTACTTTATTAAGTATATAATTAGCAGAAAGTATTGCTTCCCCCCACAAGTTCTGAGGTAATCCAGAACTGATTAATATGGCATTCATCATTTCTTTCAAAGTCCTATTTTTCCTTTCAGCAATTCCATTTTGCTGAGGTGAGTAAGGAGCAGTGGTTTGATGAATTATTTCATGTTCTTTACAAAATTCACCAAAAGGTGATTCATATTCACCATCTCTGTCACTTCTAAGTTTCTTGATCTTCTTACCAAGTTGATTTTCAACTTCATTCTTATATTGAATGAAAGTTTCTAAAGTTTCATCCTTGGTTCGAATTAAATAAACATAACTATATCTAGTATAGTCATCTATAAAAGTGATAAAATACTTTTTCCCACCTCTAGTTTGAATTGATTTAAAATCACAAATGTCACTATGAATTAATTTCTGTTCCCAAAAAGAGAAGATCCCTTCAACAAAGTTGAAGAACGCAAATTTCACATTTATGATTTGAATCAATGTTAAATTTAGGTAAACATTCCATATTAATTAATCTACGCAAAGAGCCATAATTAACATGTCCTAGTCTACCATGCCATAAATTTGAAGACTCGAGCAAGTAAGAAGAAGATGTATTTTTATTAATAACTGAGGGTACAATGGTCATTACATTTAACTTGAAAAGGCCATCAGAATGTAACATTTTCCTACATACATCTCATTCTTAGTAAGTACAAATTTATCACTCTCAAATACCAGCCTAAACCCATTCTTACTCAACAGAGATCCGGAAACAAGATTCTTGCGAATGTCCGGTACATGCAACACATTGTTGAGAGTGAGTTCCTTTCCTGATGTCATCTTGAGAACAATCTTTCATTGTCCTTCAACTTTGGAAGTTGAGGAGTTTCCCATAAAAAGTTGTTCACCATTGTCCATTGAAGAATAAGATGTGAACATCTTTTTGTCGGCACAAATATGGCGAGTAGCACCAGTGTCCACCCACCATTCTTTAGGATTTCCGACAAGATTTGCCTCGAAAACAACTGCAGAAAGATTGATATCATCTATACCATTGGAAATATTGTCCACTTTGGTCATATGGGCTTGAGCAGGCTTCTTGCTTGTTCTTCTTTTGCTTTTGCCTTTG